ATCGAGTCTAATGCTCACCTCAATTGTCAGAACCTTGAAACAACAACAACAAAAAGGATTTGCTGGTGAATATAATGCACATTGGCAAAAAGCGCACTCTTCACAACAATGAGTTTTTATTATGAATTCAATTTTACAAAAAAACACACTATTATTTGATAAACTTACTAATACACTAAAAAATTAAATCTCAAAAATCTACTGCTATTTGTAAAGAGTTTCCTTTATATCCTAAAATTTCAAGTGTATATGCTGTTCTTTGGTGTTTCAATTACTAAAATACAGAACTAGATGACAGACTGTAACTTAATCTAGAACTTAATAATAACTGCAAGATGAAATTTTGGTCAGCCCCTGTGCTTTGGGACTCCCTGCCTGTTGACATTAGGCAGACACCATAACCCATCCCGGAAGTAGATGCTCCTGGTAGCAAACTTTGCTCTGGGATGCGAGCAGAAGTTGCACGCCGGCGGCAGCGGGAGGCCCCATGTTAAGAACAGACCTCTGGAACGAATTAAGTTCGTAACTGGAGGTACCACTGTACTGGGCATAGCCAGACACTTGATTTGGGTACATCTGTTCTTAAGTTTGCTTTAAATGGTTTATTATGCTTAATTGTTTTTAGATATTTTAAACAGTTTTAAAATGAGGTATTTTTTATCTTATTTTTATGCTGGCTGGGGGCGATGGGAGTTGTTGCTCAACAACATCTGGCAAGTCACAGGTTCTCACCATCATGCCTATGTAACTGTAGCCAACGTTAGAAATAGATAAGATCTGCACACTAATGTTTGTTTGTTTTTTAAAGTTTTAAAACAGTTTTCAGCAGAAAATAAAAGCCTGTGCTGGTGCAATGCATTATAACCCAATGTATATTTTTTTTAAAAAGTATGATAAATTTGATACAAAAGTTAATTGACATGAACCCTTTCTCCCAACAGTGGCAAGTCTGGTTAAGCAACAAACCTAAGAACTGTGATTTATGCTTTGAAGGGACTATGTGGGTGCTATACTCAAGTTCTGCTTATGTAAGACTTCCAAAGAAGGGAGGCTGCCTGGTGGGAGTTGAAAGTTGGCTTTCTGTTTTAGCAGGCTTGCAGTGCTGTCAGTCACAGAGCAGCCTTTCTGCAACTGTTACTTAACATCTCCCGTTGGATTTCATTATGCCTTGGCCTGAATAAGACTGGGCTGCCTGTGTCTGCGTTGGACTGGCCTGCTTTTTCTTCATGCTTTTCAAGACTTGCTTACAAATGGTTGCTCGGAGTTGAGGGACAAGCTGTCCTCTAGCACTGGAGTGGGAAAAAGCTGCTGTGTGAGAGGTGGAGCTGGTCCTGTGTTCTGTGGACAGCAAGGCTTAGGAAAGTGGGTTGCAGATGCTTTGTGAAGTGCCTTGACCATCACCGCCTTGTAGTGGAGGCTTTTCTGGCCCTGGTGTCTTGTCCTTTTTTAACCTTTATCTTCATGCCTGTGTGTGTGTGTGGGGGGGGGGGGGATTTTGTTTTCTGTGGGCACCCTCAGGAGAGAATGATGGAGAAGCAGGGCCTATGATTTTTCAACTGTAATTGTTTTAAGAAATAATTAAATTAACACTTCTGCTGGCTGAGCTAACAGCTTGACTGAAAGGTGTATGCAAAAAAATTAGCCAGCATTTCCAGTTTTAAGCTAGCCAGGCTTTGAAGCCAACAAGTGTTTAAATAAAACCAAATGAGGGATAAGTAACTAATACTTCCCAGGGGATGGTGGACTTTTCACCCACAACAAATTACTTGTGTTGATAAGTTGTCCGTTCCCCAACCTGGTTGGGCTTCAGCTTCCATTTGCCCCAAATCTTTATTTCCTGGACTATAATGTAACTTAAATAGAAAACTATCTTTATAAAGAATTTTCTTCCAAAAGCATTTTATTTTTTAAAAATCCAATTAATTTTTTTTTAAAAATCTGGTTTAAATTTTTAAAAAATCTGATTTATTTTTATTTTTTTTAATACAAAATCATTGATTTTCATCCACCCTGGTTACACTCCTTTCCTCTCTCCCATGTTACATATATTTGGAACAGGCCCGTGTTAACAGAAAGATATTTTGTGCTTTATGTTGGCCATTGTGACTATTTTATATTCTTATTACCGATCTGGCATATTTCCTCGCTCTAGTGCACCTCTAAGCTTTATTCCATGCCCTCTTAACAAACTCTGCACTTCAGATGCTGATAATACTGTAAGTCCTGGAATTTTTGCATTTAGCTAATGTCTGGCATCATGGCACAAGTGCGCAGCAGCTCAGTAGGAAAGCACATGTCTTGCGTGCGAAAGGTCCCAGGTTCAGTCTTTGGCATCTCAGGTATGAGTAGGAAAGACTCCCGTCTGGAACTTTGGAGAATCGCTGCCAAACATTGAAGACAGCACTGTACAAATGAACTGATTCCTATGTTCACAAGAGACCTTTGATTAAAATAAAGGACTTAACTCCCATTCCTGTGGCTTTACAAAAATGGATGTGCCATCATTTTTATAACGTCAAATGTTTAATTACTGGAAACCATGGCTTCCCATAGTGAGGAACTTACCAGCATTTTCTTGCTATGGCTGGTTCTGTATCTGTTCTGTTCTCACTTGAATGTTTAGTCTTTCATTTCACAACTACAGAATTGTAGATTTCGTCAGCTGCAGATCTTTGTAACAGCTAGATCTTACTAGAAATATCCCTCTGTGCTGAGCATTGGCTGATATCATTTAATATTACAGCGAGTGCATTAACAAGTCCCCAGTTCTTAAGATCTGTTTGCAGATATTGTGGAAAGATACTGATGGATATACAGGCACCATACGTTTTAGGTCCATCCAATATTTGCGTAACCACGCATGTACACATTGCACCGAACCCGGAAGTGACCCCAAAACATTACAAAAACATCCCAGAAAGGGGCGGGGGAGCAGAATGGGGTGTTTGCCGGCTTTTTCAATAGGTGTTACGGTTGCACACAATTTCACACAAGCATGCAGTGACTCAGAATGCAACCCGTTTGCAAATGGGATATCGCCCATAGTCTGGCCATTTTTGTTATATGCATCACAATCGGACTTAATGTTTATAACTTTTCCTTTTTAAAAAAGAGAACAACTGCCAAGGATACTTTATTGTCTGTTTATTGACATTTCTCTTTTAAGCAGTCACCTTTTTTGTTTTGTGTGATCCTTGGCAATATTTGAATAAATTAGCCTGTGTACTTTTCAGGGGAAAGTGCATTATCTGACTATGTTCATTATTAACGTACAGCAATATATGCTTGCTGTGATATTAACTACTCATGATAGTAGCTAATTGGCTAATGATCAAATTCTACCATAAAACAGTTTAATTACAGTTAGGAAAAGGTACGTTGTACATTGAAATAAATACAAAAATCATAGTTACTTGTCTTGTGCATCTTGTGATTGAACAACAAGTGAGCCACTTTGACTGTATTGCTCTTACTGTAATGATGAAGACCAGGACTAGCTGGTTCTAATAGCTACACATAGGAATGAACTTTTTAATTCTTGCACCAGTAACTTCCCCTTATTTTATAGTTCCAGGTAGCATCAATGAATATAACTATTGGAGGCTGGTTGCACAAAGCTAGTGTTATATAAGCACAAGGCATGGTGCTATTTGGCTGTTATTGCAAGATGTTGTGCAATCTTTTGGTTAAATGTTAGTAGACATTCATTAGACTTCACGAGTAACTGCTGATTCCCCCAGCTTCCCATGTCTGACCTAAATTTTAACACCTGGTAGACTATATGGACTTACTGAAAAGGTTTTTCAGTAATGCAGTCTGCTTGCTTAAAGAAAAGATAACTTCCTTAGCTTGAAACTATGCTATTTCTTTGGCTACTTCAAACAGGAACTGAAAATTAAAATTTGAGCCTGTGAATTGTTTGTTTAGCAATGTGTGATAGCTAAGCAAACAAAGAAGGGGATTTTCCACATTATGGAAATAAGTTTCTGTTGGTGTTTGTGTTGTCAATTCCGGACAGTTCCCTACAAGCAAGTATTGAGTAAAGTGAATTGAGTCAAGGATAATTCACTTTCTGCACGAGCAAGTGAAGGTCATGTACATCATTTTGAGAAAGTTCATTTGGTTGGCACAGAGAGCAGAAGAGCTGCTTCTTCATATTACCTTGGGTGAACATAATACGAACGTGTGTGATCAGGCCAATGTCCATATAGTCCAGCATCCTGTTCTTACCGTAGCGAACTGTGGGATTCTTGCTTTTAAAGCCAATATCTTTGCCAGTTAAAATGTTTTACTTTTATATTAGATGAATTGACGTTGACATTTTCCCAGTTATATGAAGTGAATAAAATAATACGATTCGCTCATGCTTTATATCCAACATAACACTATTTTTGTAGTGTATTTTATATTTATTAACAACTTTTGATTTGTTAACATACGTTTATTATAGCTTTCATATATGCTACTGTAGTATTGCTAATGAATTAGTGAATATAAGTATTTTCAGATACAGTTTAATATTAGCAGGTCTTCATCTTGCACCCCAGCTTCCACCTAGTTAGAATGTCCACACACCTTTGCTCTGTCCAAATTACTCTGATTGTCAGCCAACAATCACTTCTCTTTTTCTATTCTACTTCCTTTTGTGACTCACACTCGCATCTCAATATCCTGAGTGCTGTCATTGCCTTCTGATAAGTGTCACACCCCAAAGTCAAATTCGACTGCACTTAATCTTCCAGGGGTCCTTTACCTTTACCCATTTTACCTTCCAGAAAGTACTTTTTTTTAAAAAAACACATAATTACCACATATTTTAGAAAAGAAGTCTGACCGCATGCCTAGGAAACGACATTTCCAAATGTTCTTATCAACATATTATGCTTGTGTGTGTGTGTTTAAGTAAGTAAGTAAGTAAGTAAGTAAGTAACCGAATATATATTTTGTTCAATGTGTCTAATGCACTTAAATGTAATCGGATTTTGTTTTTATTATTATAGGCCAATGCACAGCTAGTTCGAGACGTTGACATAGAGAAAGTGTGCTCGTTTGAGAACCCTTATGTAGATGCAATAAGGTATTTATGGAATGACCCTGGAATCCAAGAATGCTATGACAGGCGGCGAGAGTATCAATTGTCAGATTCTACTAAATAGTAAGTATAAACGGGAAGATGTTTTGGATAGTAATGCTTTAGACATATCTCATGGGCAGCTGTTTTTCAAGAATTATTTGAGGTGTCCAGTCACTGGGAATCTTAGTTGTTCAAACTTCCTTTCTATCTGAATTAAGATACATACCGTATTTTTCGCTCTATAGGACGCACTTTTTCCCCTTCAAAAATGAAGGGGAAATGTGTGTGCGTCCTATGGAGCGAAGACGCCATAGCCCTGCGACCCTCTCCCGGCTGGAGAGGTAATGCGGGGCTATGGCAGGAGCCTCTATAGCCTCGTGTCACCTCTCCAGCCGGGAGAGCACGCGCAGGGCTAAAGCAGCCCCCCGCGACCCTCTCCCGGCTGGAGAGGTGACGTGCGCATATGGCAGGAGCCTCCATAGGCGCGCGTCACCTCTCCAGCTGGGAGACCGCACGCGGGGCTAAAGCAGCCCCCCGCGACCCTCTCCCGGCTGGAGAAGTGACGCGCGCCTATGGCAGGAGCCTCCATAGGCGCGCATCACCTCTCCAGCTGGGAGAGCGTGCGCGGGGCTAAAGCAGCCCCCCGCGACCCTCTCCCGGCTGGAGAAGTGACGCGCGCCTATGGCAGGAGCCTCCATAGGCGCGCGTCACCTCTCCAGCTGGGGGAGAGCGCGCGGGGCTAAAGCAGCCCCCCGCGACCCTCTCCCGGCTGGAGAAGTGACGCGCGCCTATGGCAGGAGCCTCCATAGGCGCGCGTCACCTCTCCAGCTGGGAGAGCGCGCGCGGGGCTAAAGCAGCCCCCCGCGACCCTCTCCCGGCTGGAGAGGTGACGCGCGCCTATGGCAGGAGCCTCTCTGCTGCGCCTTTCCGCTGCTCCCTGACCTGCTCTTTGTTTTTTTTTTTTTTTTTATAAAATTTTTATTGGTTTTAGAAACTTTTTAAACAAAAAACAGACAAACACCAAAAATGACAAACATACACGTATAGTTTCAAACGTATTTTCATAGACTTCTTTCCTTTGACTTCCCCATACCCCCCCTCTCTGCATCCCAGTGTCCAAAGTTCCACTAGCAACTCCCAATTGTTGTTTTCCAATCTCTATCTTCTTAGTTCTTTTTTTTAAATTTCTAACCTTATATCCCTGTATCCCTTTATTTCTGAAACCGCAACATTTTAGCATTCATTAAGTTTATAGTAGTCCTTAAGATAGCTTTTAAATTTCCTCCATTCTTCTTCCACCGTCTCTTTTCGTTGGTCACGGATTCTGCCTGTCATCTCAGCCAATGTCATATAGTCCATCACTTTCATCTGCCATTCTTCCAAAGTGGGTAGATCTTGGGTCTTCCAATACTTTGCGATGAGTATTCTTGCTGCTGTTGTAGCATACATAAAGAAAGTTCTATCCCTCTTTATCACCAATTGGCCGACAATGCCCAAGAGAAAGGCCTCTGGTTTTTTCGCGAAGGTACATTTAAGTACCTTTTTGATTTCATTATAGATCATTTCCCAGAAGGCCTTAATCTTCGGGCATGTCCACCAAAGGTGGTAGAAGGTACCTTCAGTCTCTTTACACTTCCAACATTTGTTATCGGGCAAATGATAAATTTTGCCAGCTTGACTGGGGTCATGTACCACCTGTAAATCATTTTCATTATGTTTTCTCTTAAGGCATTACATGCCGTAAACTTAACACCGGTGGTCCATAACTGTTCCCAGTCGGCAAACATAATGTCATGGCCAATATCTTGTGCCCATTTAATCATGGCTGATTTCACCGTTTCATCCTGTGTATTCCATTTCAGCAACAAATTGCAGACATTTTAGCAAAAAGATTTAAAAGAGTGTTGATGGAGAAGATTCATAGGGACCAAGCAGGCTTCCTCCCTAAAAGACACCTGGCAGACAATGTAAGGAATGTAATAGACATTCTGGAAAATAATGTTGTGACTGAGGAACTTAAGATAGAAAATGTTGTGACTGAGGAACTTAAGATAGAAAAAGCAACCTTGGCCTTGTGGGACCTACAGAGAAAAGAGAGAAACTTGAAACTAAGACTGATTCCGGAGAACGAAAGAGATAATCTTGTGGAATATCTGACTCAGGAGTTTGTGGATTGTTGGGGCCTGGAGGAAGACGAATTTAAAATCACGACAGCTTTCAGATTAGGTAAAAAGCAAGACAGAAAGATCCCAAGAGACTGTTTGATTACATTCAGATCCAAGGAGGAAAGAGATAAAATATTAGGACTGCACTTTGAAAAGGCCTTGCGAATTGGAAACTCAGCTGTACAGATCTTTAAGGACATCCCAAAATATATTTTGGATTTAAGAAATTTCTACAAGGATTTGGTTCTTCTGCTAAAGAAAAATTCCATCCGCTTCAGGTGGGAGTTCCCACAAGGACTGTCATTTGACTACAAGCAAAAGAAGGTGAAGATAAAGACAATTCAAGACAAGGATAAATTTTTGGCAAGAAACCAGGAGGACCTACAGAAGGGGACTGTGGATGCAATTGCAGAACAGAGGAGAGCATTGGAGATTTTGAACCTTTCGTTCGGACAAAAACCACCGCCATCAGAAGAAGAGCAACAGCTCGGAGCTGTTGGAGGAGTGTAGAAAAATAACAAGATGGCTTTGCAATTCCTTAGTTGGAATTGCAATGGGCTTAATGGGCCTTTGAAGAGAAGACAAGTATTCCATATATTGAACAAAGAACAACTGGATTTGATATGTCTACAAGAAACTCACATAACTAGAGCCCACAGGAGACTACTCATTAATAAAAGGCTAGGACAAGAATTTATTTCATCAGATAAAGTCAAGAAAAGAGGAGTTGTAATATATGTGAAAGAGAAATGGGCCCCAAAAATGATATTCAAGGACGAACAAGGGAGATATCTGGCAGTGGAAATACAAGTTCAAGGAGAAAAATTTTTAGTGGTTGGAATCTATGCACCGAATGAAGGCAAATCTGACTTCTTTAAGAGACTTCATGAAACCCTGACTGACCATTTGGATTACAATATGATAATTATGGGAGACATGAATGGCGTGGTCTCCACTAACATGGACAAGGCACAAAGACTAATAGTAAGTAAGGAAGGGAGACTCCCTAAGACTTTTTTTGAAATGACAGAAAATATGGACTTGATAGATATATGGAGAACAAGGAACCCTCTGGAGAGAGAGGGAACTTTTTTCTCCCAAGCAATGATGACCTGGACAAGAATCGATCAAATTTGGATTACTAGTGGAATGGCTCCAAAGATTAAGAAAGTGGAAATCTGTCCAAAAACTTGCTCCGACCATAACGCCCTGAAGATGGAGATGAAAATCACAACAACTGGTCAATTTAGATGGAGAATGAATGACAGCCTCTTTCGAGATAAGGAGATTCTCACGAAGGCCCAAAAGACTTTAAAAGACTACTTTGAAATAAATCTGAGGACCGACGTGGAGAAAAGAGTGATCTGGGACGCAAGTAAGGCAGTAATGAGAGGATTTTTGATACAACAAAATTCAATAAAGAGGAAAAAACAGAATGAGAAAAAAGAAAAGATTTTGGAAATGATAAAGGAAGGAGAGAGAAAATTAAGAACAAAACCAAAGTCTCAGGAAATCCTAAGAGAGATTAAGCTGTATCAAACACAATATATGGAATTGATGAACCAAGAGATTGAATGGAAGATAAAGCAAATGAAGCAAAAGACTTTTGAATCAGCAAATAAATGTGGCAAACTCTTGGCATGGCAACTGAAGAAAAGGCAGAAATTAAATACAGTTACAAGCCTAGAGGTGGATGGGAAAAATATATCTAAACCTAATGAAATTAGAAACTGCTTTTTAAGTTATTTCAAAAAACTTTATACTCAAGGCTCTCAAAATGAAGAAGATATAGATAAATTCCTTGAAAAACATGGATTACAAAGTATCTCTCATCAAAGTAAGATGGATCTGAGCCAGAGAATTTCAGAACAAGAGATAGAGGCTGCCATTCAGAATATGCAATTGGGCAAATCTCCAGGACCAGATGGACTGACTTCCGGATACTACAAATCGTTGAAGGAATGGTTGATTCAACCATTAAGAGAAGTTTGTAATGAGATCCTTGAGGGAAAAAAGGCACCTGAATCGTGGAAAGAAGCATATATTTCACTCATACCAAAATCAGAGACTGAAAAGACCCAACTTAAGAACTACCGCCCAATATCATTACTTAATGTGGATTACAAAATCTTTGCAGACATTATTTACAATCAGTTTGGCTTTTTGTTCTGAATATATTGCAGCCATACCATTCTCAAAACCCTGGCCTACCCCCATCCCATGAAGATTCTTCCTCATAAAGCTCCAAGAAATATTATCAAAGGCTTTCTCCGCATCCACAAAGATCAGAACTGCTTTAGTGTTTATATTCACCTCTAACTTTTCCGGCTGGAGAGGTGACGCGCGCCTATGGCAGGAGCCTCTCTGCTGCGCCTTTCCGCTGCTCCCTGACCTGCTCTTTGGGGCTGGTGGTGGGCTTCCCCCCCGCCAGCCCCAAAGAGCAGGTCGAAAGGAACCTGAAGCCTGGAGACGCACCTGAAGCCTGAACGCACCTTAAACGGCACCTTGTTTTAGAGGAGGAAAACAAGAGAGGGGAAATTCTCCCACTCTCTGCGCAGCGCCTCCTGCCGCTTCACTGAAGGGGCGCTGGGCAGAGAGCGGAAGAATTTTTTTCCCTTGTTCTCCCCCCTCTAAAACAAGGTGCGTCCTATTGTCCGGTGCGTCCTATGGTGCGAAAAATACGGTACCTTGTTTTATTTTAGGATAATGTATACCACTACTGATAATATACTTAGTTTATAAATGTACATGTACTCCACTGTCTTACTGCATAGAGTTTGATGAAAACTGGCATCCTGAGATTGTAAGCAGTGTGTGTGTGTGTGTGTGTGTGTGTGTGCGTGTGTGCGTGTAGATACACACACTAGTAATGAACTGCAGGCCTGATACAGGCACACACAATTTTTTGTTGCTTCC